CTGGTGTAACTCGAACATACTGGATGAAGAGATAAGCTTAGATAACTATACACACTTTCGGTGTGACAGGGAAGGTGGTAGGGGAGGGGGTTGTCTTATGTACCTTCTGAATGCACTTACTGTATCACAGCTAGAAAATAGTACACTTAACATGCCTGAGACTTTATGGGTTAACTTACACTTAAATAACGCAATAGTATTAATTGGATGCACCTACAGAGCACCTGGCACCTTTAGTAATTACGAGACCCAACTTATTAATACTCTAGAACAATTATCCACCCTACACTACGATCATAAGATCCTATGTGGAGACTTTAACTTACCAGAAATCAACTGGGATATACCCACAGGTCCAACTAAACTTGATAAGTTCTTAGGTAGACTGGATACACTTGGCTGGAAGCAGACTGTCACAACCCCTACAAGAGGTAATAACGTACTAGACTTAATCTTCTGCCACAACATAAGTCCCCTTTCTACCCTGATAGGTTCTGAGTTTTCAGGGAGTGACCACAAAACAGTGCTGTGTGCACTGCCACTTCCGTCAAGTAGCAATGCAACCATTACCCCTACTTCACAACAAACAACTTACAGGAACTACAGTAAGGCAGACTGGACTCTAGTAAAATCAATGCTAAGATCCTCAGAGTGGAGTGAGTACTTCTATACTGATAGCCTCTCGAAAGCTCTAGACATCTTTTACTATAACTCCAACACATGCCTAGATGCTGTCATCCCATTTCAAACACTAAAGTTTTCCCCACATAGAAAGTCATTCATAAAGCCAAAGGATCGTAGGAAACTGAAAAGACTGTCAACAAGTTACTTCAGGCGACACGACTTTAGTACACTAGGGTCAATACTTAGTACTCTTAGCTCCATCTCGCAAGCTCATAACTTGCGTATGAGAAATGAAGAATGCACGGCACTAGCCAGCACCACCAAAGTAGGTGCTCTCACAGAAATCCTTAAGAAACGAATGAATCACCAAAGCCATAAAATTTCTCTCCTTATAAACAAGGGCAAACTATACAGCAACCATGCAGACATGTGTGAACTGTTTAATGAGACGTTTGCAGCTAACTACCTTAAGTCTACAAGTCCACTTCTCGGTTTACAATCTACAATAGAACTCCCTTCATCTTCAACGCTGAAACAAATCAACACAGTTCATTTCACTTACTCTAATATTAACCAAGCCATTAATACTCTTAAAAGCTCTAGTAGTGCCGGTTTTGACGGTATACCATCGTATCTCTATAAACACGGTGGTTCTGACATTTCCGTTTTATTACTTAAGATTTTTACAATGTCCCTAGAAAGCCAAACCTATCCAGATAAATGGAAAACGACATTTATAGTACCTAAACACAAATCCGGATCAAAAACTGAAGTCAACAACTATAGGCCAATCAATATTACACCCATAGTATCTAGAATCATTGAACGAACAGTTAAAGATGATATCCTCAAACATATGCTCAACTGCAATATTCTAAGTCCAAACCAACATGGATTCCTAAAATCCAGATCATGCATGACATGTCACGTTGACTTCTTTAACTACATAACTAGCAGCCGCGACAAACAACAACTAGTACTTGTCATCTACTTCGACATATCCAAAGCCTTTGACCGCGTTGACCATTTGCTTCTAATAAATAAGCTAAACTCCTTAGGAATAAGTAACCCATTATTAGGATGGATTGAATCATTCCTTAACAATAGGTCCCAAGTAGTTAAACTGGGGTCTGTAAATTCTAAACCTAGTCCAGTCACTTCTGGAGTAGTTCAAGGTAGCGTCTTAGACCCCCTCCTATTCACTCTGTATGTCAACGACATATGCAGCTGTTTCTCAATTGGCAAACCATTCATCTTTGCAGATGATCTTAAAGTAACTTACACATTCCACTGTACTTTCAGAAAGCTGTTCAGGAAGAACTAGATCGAGTAACCGCATGGTCCTCCACATGGAACCTAAAATTCAACCTTAAAAAATGTGGTTGGATCTGTTTCGGTGCACCCTCAATAAATATTAAACTGGTACTTGAATCTCTTGACTTGCCTAAACTCTAAAGTGTTGCTGACCTAGGACTCAGGTACTCTAGTGACTTGACATTCTCTGAGGAAGTGGCGACACAGACGCGTAAATCGAGGATGCTCTTAGGATGCATACTCAGGAATTTCCACAGCTACGAAGCGAAACTATTATTGTATAAAACTTGTGTCAGACCACTACTTGAATATTGTCCATTTATTCTCAGCAGCACTCGCGTAAGTGACGAACTTAAAATAGAAAGTGTCCAACGATACTTCACGTCTAAACTACTAGGATTTGACTACGAAAAGGACTACACATCAAGGTGTATAACTCTAGGTATCGACCCACTCTGGATGAGACGACTGAGCATTAACCTAACATTCTTCTTTAAAGTCTTGCATAAAATATCATTCTCAGACAGCAAGGAGATACAGTTCTCGCCGGAAGGCTCTTACAACCTTCGCAACCAAACGTGCACAGTATCCAGGAAAAACTGTAAGACAGCACTCCATGCAAACTTCTTCATAGTCATGTACTCAAAGATCTGGAACAGTTTACCCCTAGAAATAAGGACCTGTCACTCTATTATAACCTTCAAACGCTTGCTATATGAACTGCTTCATCCCAATGACTATGCCAATCACACCGCACCACTTATTTCTAAAACGCATCAGCTATTAGAACACTATAACGCCTAGACTCATTATTAAATATTACGACACTAAATAAACTCTAAGACTTCGCAAAATTACATGAAAAACAACTAGATTATAGGTAGTGTTTACTATACAATGATATACATTTATAAACATTTATATGTACATAAAATAATGATGTTCTTTCCATATTTACATACTTTATCTCCCTGCTGAGCGTAATCTTCTATATACCTCCTGGTCGAGGTCGAACAACCCAACATCTAAACTGAAATGACCATTTATGTAAATTCAAACTCAAATTCCATGAACGATCCGATGCAACCACTTGAAAACGCTGGCTAACATTCTGTACAAGGATTATTCTTGATCTGATATAAAGAAACAACTGGTTTTCAAGTAGTTTTCAATGTATTACTCAACTTACATGTACAGTCTGCCATGCTGCCACAAATGGCGCCAATGGATAGTTCTGGAATCGACCTCAGCCCCATTCCATGCAGTAAAACAGTCTGACATGACCTTATCTAGTTTTCGTATCCACGATCAAATCTTTCCTATTATAAAACTACGATAAGACTGCTGACAAAAATGGAATAAATACATTATTGACTCAAAATAATACATCAATAAACTTTATCTCACGGATGCTGTTCACGACAAAGTTTTATAGGAGAATTGACTTCAAGCTTTATTTTTCCCAGATATTTGTATCACATTCATCTGAAGTTTGGGTTTTTTGTTCATGCGAAGACAATATTTCTGTATCTCTTTATGTGTTACACAGACAGACTATTTTGCAGACTGTTCTGACTGACTCTAATGTTAGATTGAACAAACAAACTGTAATTTATATAATAACTTATCCATGCCTGTACAACTGGTATGTTCCTGCATAAACAGGAATAAATATATATATATATATATAATATAATAGGAGATGAAAACGTGTGGGCAGACTTGGAGCCAGGTGAAGACTCTAGCAGAGAACCGAACGCAATGGAGACGCACGGCTGAAGCCCTATGTTCCTCTAGGAATTAAATGAATCAATGATATAATAATAACCATATTGGCCCAAGCACGGAAGCTATGATGTTTTGAATGAAAATATTGCTTTGTCCAAACATTGGTGTTGTTGTGTTTTTGATCAAAGCAACCAGACTTTGGGCAAGCAACATATATGAAAAAGGGTAAGTTTCAGCTTTAATAAAGGCCTAGATAGTTAAGATTAAATGGAGTACGATAGTGCGTAGATAAAAAGACTATCGTGAGGCGTATAAGTGGTATTTCAATGAGGAGTGAACTCATAGATCTGGATAGGATAAGGTGACCTGTAAGATATCTCACGAATTTCTGTATGGCCCAGGGTGTAGAATCTTGACAAGAAGCTGAGCAGGCTTGTGGATGTTATTTATTATTTAGATCTGTGCTACCCTTATTACTTTTTTGTTAAGGGTCCAGACTAATTTTTAATTCTCGAGCTGTCAAAAAACGCATGTTGCTGTCCTACAGATCGGAGCGATTCACATTTGTGACGACTATCACATCACATGCGCCAACTTCCCTCCTTTTTTGTTGTTAAGCTCTGAGATATTTTGCAGTAACTGTAGTCGTAGGATTGGTTTGCTTTTGGCCCGCCTCAGTCATACACTACGCTGCAAATTAAAGCTTTCATGACAAGTGCTTCCCATTAAGTCACCATATACATCGAGACCTGAGTACAGTCCTAGTAGTGTCACCTTTATAGATGCATACATATATTTGTTATAAATGACTAGAAAATGAAGTTTCCCTTAAAAATTTATAAACTTTCAACTTTCGACCATTCCTTTCTAAATTGACAAACAGTAAAGGACGCATCTACATCATAATTGGTGTTCCCCATAGAAGGTTCTGTTAGCATTTGTAGGTGATTTCCATGTGTTGACTAGTTTCCCTTGTGAAATAACACTGTTTAACACGAAAATAGGTTGTATTGAAATCCCGTGAAATCTTCATAAGACGGCAGTTTGTCGAAAAGTGCACCTTCTTCATGAAGTAGACTGTTAAAGTAAGTGATATTACCCTCCTGTTATTCGCTCCTGATCCAAATTGCAATATTTCAACATAGTGCTCCACCTAGATTGTTTTATCTGATTCAAATTATAATATAAGGGTAGAAGGCTCTTGTTGCTTATTTCATTCTTTGTGATATATATCTCTGCAGAGATCTTTCTTCTCTGTGAAACCGTTTACCGACGGAGCTGTTACTACTGAATCAGGGAAGGAGTTCCAGTCATTGACCACTCTGTGAGAGAATCTAAATTCCACACGTATTTTATTCAGCCTCGGTTTGAGCGCCTTCTTTTGGTTACGTTCTTTTTAGTTCTCTAGGTATCCTGGCTAAGCGTTAAAACTAACTGTTTCTGCGAAAGTAACTGATATATGAACTTACTTTATATTGAGCGCGCTTTTATTAATATATCGAAGTCTGTCTAGGTCGTGGCGGTCTGCATGTGAAGGACATCTGGTCTGGTTTTCATTCTGTTGGCGGGCTAGGAAAGTATCTCGGTGATTTCTGCTTTCCGTTAACTGTCAACTTTGTAGTTTCAGCCGACATTTTAATTTATCATTGAATCAAGACTACGATTGGTATTTACCATATTTTACCGATAGCGAGTGGCACTTAAAAAGTTTCACCTAATTATACACCAGTTATCAATATATTATCCATGGGTCCGACAATATTTGAGGATTTAGCGTCGCATGTGAGAGTTCCAAATGATGGAGATAAGGTTTACAAGGATGAATGTCCTTTCTACTTTGAAACACCTGAGATGGAAAATGGAGTTTATATTTGTATGCGACACTTTGTTGCCATTGGCTCCAAAATATTGAGACTGTACCACGAAAAGACTGGTTGTCGTGCATTCTTACGGTACAAAATTGAGAAACAATACAAAGAAAAAGGTACGTGCTAGTTTGCGTTCAGTATTTACTCCCAATTGTAAGTTCGAAGAAACGTGGTGTTATTAGACAAATTTCATTGAACTTCGGTGATTCGTTTTATCTTATATGAGTTTGGCATGGCAGTTACTTCCGTTTCCCAGTAGACTGAAGTCATTTGTGTGCGTCGCATGACAAATCAATCAGGAAAACTTCATTTAGTTGTTGCAAATAAGAATTTTCTATCGCGTTCACCTTAGTAATAAACGCGACACTCAACTGTAGCCCTCTGCGCTTACATCTGTTGAAGTAAATTACAGATGAAAAGTCAAACATGATTTGTTATAACTTTCAAGAATTGCAACTCACGTATTTTCACGTCTGAATAAGAGGTCTGTTACATGTGATAAGTAACACAACACAGTAGTTTAAACTAGAAATTGATTAACGTATTTAAAGTTAAATGAAGCCACACACTAGTAACTTTCCTGGAATGAACCTAATTCATTATCTCCTTTTAATGCCTGTTTTTAATACTTTTAGCAAATTATCTGAAGTTCTATACATGTTGTGTTTAGTCCTTCATTTTACTTAAGACGCCAAGAGATTAATTTATGTTCAGGAATAAATCATTGTAGATACAGTGCAAGGTCACTATATATCTAGTCAGACTCGCCTTTGTTTTCAATATTCAGCTGGTGCAACTTACCAATAAATAGTGGAGTTAGTTGGTCGGTTACATTACATTTACACATCTCTGAACAAACATTGGGGTATAATATTTTACTCTGAATCTGGAGAGGGTTAGTTTAGGTAATCAACTTGAAACTAGTCTAGGTACATGGGTTTGTATCCCACTCAACCTTATTTGTCTTGGGTAGCCAGGCCGACCTTCATAGAACAGGTGTGCATCATTAAGTTTATGAACATATACAAGATTATTGAGTAACGTTTTCCTTCTTGCTTTTTTACTATCATGGTATGCACCGATTTTTTTCTTAACACTGAATTCACTATAAAATGTATTTATCATATTTACTCATTCATCGGTTTATTTTGTTCTAGAGCATGGTACACAAGAAAAACCTAAAAAGCTTGCTATTGGTGTTTCTGGGGGTTTCGATTTGCCTCAAGATGTTTACACAGTAACAGAACACTGGTCGTTAGTTCGTCTTCCAGAAGGTGACTCTTTTGAAATTCCAAATCCAGAGCCTAGTCAATCACCAACTGATACATCACACTTGAAGATTTTAGATCTTCCTAAGCGTTTGGCTACCACCATTGCATTCATTCAACGCGCGGAATCATCACTACTGGCAGAGGAGCGTGCTAATTCACTTAAGGCTTGGGAAGATGACAATATTTGTTTGATTTCTTCTTACGCAATGAATTTGGTACAAATTGACAATGGTGTCAGAATACCTCCATCGTGAGTTAATATTGTCTATTTATTGAGATATTTCAAAGTTTACATATGAAAATGGAGCGGTCCTATTGTTTTCTATGAAGAACGTATAACATTCCGAGTATTACTGTTCATTATACGTGTAATTATGGATTTGTGTACATGCATCACTTGGTGTGTGGGTTGGCAAAAGTTCCACTAGTCTCCTTACGGATATCTTCTTAAACATTCTTCTAAAACTTCGAGGTTTCTGCGTAGTCATATCTGGTGTGGATCGTCTTAAAAGTTGTTTTCATGCCTTTTAAGACAAAAATAGCAATGCTCGAGTGGAGATGTAACTTACTGGCCTAAACACTAAGCCCTTGGCTCGAATCCTGGTAGTCAGCTTGAGCGACAGTGGTTTTATTAGCCATCACAATATGTTTAGCCCTCAGTTTGGTACATGAGAAATCTCTTTCCAGTTACTGAGTTCCGTTGATATGAGAATAGAGTTTGAGCACTGTGGCACTTAAATTGCTATTAGCTTGAAGGGGGTGAGGTGGCAATAAAGTTTCTTCTGGACGACCAGAAATCTATCTATGCTGTCTTATTTCTTCGTCATCCAGTAAATACTACAGTTTCACTCTGTGCGTGTGATACGTCCAATGAACATTGATATGGAATTGTATACTAACTACCACAGCGCCCAAGTTTTCCACATATGTTAGTGAGTTCAAACATACTTTATATCTGACAAACAGTCAAATGAAATCTTCTTTTTAGGTTGCACACCTTGAGTTGCAATCTGCGAATTATTGGTATGCGATTGGCTCCTGCTGTCAAATGTAAGATGATGCTACAGGACTGGACTACATCGACTCACTCGTAGCTTAGAAATAGGGAGTGAAGTGGTGGTGGAGAGTGTTGACCACTTCACTTATTTGGGAAGTTGCATCAGCCAGTCTCAGAGGGTTGATAGCTGACGAAATCTCAGCACGAATACAAAAGGCTCGTTTGGCATATGCTCTCCAACTCACACCATCTCTGGCCTAGTAGATGTGATATCCGGCTATCGACCAAAGGGCGTCTGTACTGCTCAGCAGTTTACTCTGTCCTCCTTTATGGCTATGAGACATGGCCACTTAAAGTGGAAGACATGAAAGGGCTGGTTGGCTGTCTTTCATCATAGGTGTCTGTGTTCTATCTCCCATGTTAGGTGGCATAATAAGGTGAGCAATACTGAGTTGGTTAGGCGTCAAGTGCTAGGTAAGGAGGGAAAATCAATCGAGGAAGTTGTGAAGTTACATCAACTGAGGTAGTTAAGATACGAATTACGCATGCCTAGTCATCGCCTTCCTCGATAATAGCTGACTGACATAGGACGGATGAGGTTGGAAAAGAGCTAGCTAGTAGTGGTTAAACCAAAACATGACTTCATCAATCAGTGAAATCCGCAACAGTTAGTTTAAGCCGGCCAGCCACGTAGGAAGGTGTAGACTTCCTGACTGACTGGTTGGGGTCCTCGGGACGATAAACACCAATGAAGGCTGGAAACAATTGGTGAAATGACTCAAACTCATCATTCTCAATGGCTGGTGCAGATACATCTACTCCTTGTGACTTATAGTTTCCAATGAAACTATACTGTTTTTCGATATTACTATTCCTTTTGCATCATGTCTCTGTTTAATGTCTCTATTTTGCGTTTCTTTTTACTTTCATCTCTAGCTGTGGTGTGTGTGGCGACTCGAACTGCTGCACATCGGTGCAAAGTTCTATGTTGAAAATAATCAGTCAGTCTTTTTAGGTAGACTTCAATACTGTGGTTTCTTTCTGTGTGTTGTTTAACTACTGTGTACACAATAGTTAATCTGTCAAATTGCTTTCACATCCTTCTTTTTCTCTGTTTTTTAATTTATCAATGAATGCTCGTTTAGTGGATGGAAATGCTCTAGATGTGATTTAAAGGATAACCTATGGATGAATCTTACTGACGGGGCTATCCTGTGCGGTCGAAGATTTTGGGATGGTACCGGTGGAAATAATCATGCATTGGAGCATTATGAAAAGACTAAATATCCATTAGCTGTAAAATTGGGAACAATAACACCTAAAGTAAGTATTAATAATTGAATTATGTCTAGTTCGTGTTTACTGACGAGAAGCTGTTATGTGTACGATATGATCATTATTAAGTCAAGAGGCATCACAACCCTTTTCTTTAGCCTTGAAATTTTATATTTGACACCAAAGTATTGCATTAAGGACATACCTTTATTATTATTATTGTTCCATTGGGTTCCAAGTGGAACATAGGGCTTCAACAGCACGTCTCCATTTTTTCCTGCTCTTTGTCGTTCCCTCCATCTGGTGTTATGATTGTCCTCTCCTCACACGATCTCCATGTTACCCTAGGGCGACCCACTCGTCGCTTCCCATTTGGATTCCACTCAACGATTTGCCTGGCGAGCGATGCCATTCGAAGGTATTCTCAACGTGTAGCCAATCCATCTCCATTTTCTTCTACATGTTTGTTGAGCGATCGGCTCTTGGTTGGTTTGTTCCCATAGCTTCCTGTTACCAATTCTTTCTGACCATTTGATCTTCAGTATGGAGTCAGCCAAGGCAGTTGTTGATAAAAGTCTGCAACCTGTTGTTAATGCTTTCCGTGACTCAAGCACCAAGTTTCTGACTCATATAGAAGGACTGACTGACTTCACATTTATGTTGAATAGAATCCGAATCTTGTTCTTTACGCTGTGGGGTGCAAAAGATTTCCAAACTGGTTTCAAGCGTATCTTGCCTTTCCGATTCTGACTGGCTTTGACATCTTCCTCCGTTCAGACTGCCTGTGGTTGAAACGATGCTTCCTAGATAAGTGAAAGAAGTAATCTCTGTTAAATCTCTCCAGTTGGTAGTTATTGCTGCTGGCTGTAGTTGGTGGTTGATTGGTTATCTTCATCACCCCCGTCTTCTTCTCTGTGTTCATCTGGAGTCGTGTCTTCGTTGTCTGTCTCGCCTCTTCAGCCAACTTATTGGTTTTCGCCTGTAAGTCTTCGAGTTTGTGTGACAGTGAACATAAATCATCCATGAAATGTATATCTTCTAGAGTCTTCCTATCGGTGGTCTAGCATATTCCTATCTTCTCACTCCCAACACGCAGTCTGACGCATAATCCAGTCTACCACAATTAAAAATATCTTTGGTGGTGGTAGTCATCACTCTTGTCTTACTCTTGTGTTCACTTGGAACGCCTCGCTGAGCTTTCCGTTGTCATGTAGCTGTTGAAAGAGGTTGATAAAGACTTGGACACTGCATGCCGTAGTGTTGAAGTGGTTTCCAAATTACTTCATGGTCAACGCTGTTAAAGACCTTTTCAAAGTCGATGAAGTCTAGATAGAGGTTTGACTGCAATTCTATGCTTTGTTCCGTGATGTCGGTGCGTAGAGTTGCCATTTCGTTAGCACATGTCGTATGGCTATGACTGATGATAACCCTTTTCATATTTCTCTTTAATTCAATATGACCTGATTACATTGAAGTGGATGACTATATTACTCTGAGCAACATGACGTTGGATAGCAATCCTATGTCACATATAAGCAATGATGAAAACAAAATGTTACTTTAAAAGCATAAAACTACACATACTACTGATTGACTACTGTTATGAGTAGTTGTATACTACTCACATCAACAACCAGTCATGCTTGTTAGTCAGATCGAAGTGATCTAAACAATAGATCGACCATTTCACTCAGTTGAGGGTGGAGTTCATTTATAGTGTTACCAGTTCGCCCAAGTAGCTAGCCACAGATTGGGTGGTTTGAACTGACTCGGTTGTCTGAGCTGAATGGGACATGGTACACCACTAGTGAGTTCTGTCCCAAACGAGAGACGTTAGCTACTAGTGTCCAATTAAAGTATCCAGTACAGTCCTATAGGAGGTCAATGGCGAACGCGAATAGCTCAGTGTTAACGTCTCAGATTACTGCATCACTGACTGGGTGACCCGGGTCGGAGTCTCAGAAGGGACAGATACACCTTGTTGACTGGTGAGTGCCAACAACAAGCACAAGACCTAGGTTGGATCATACTTTTTTTCGATTGCCTCTGACCATCTAATACCAACAATTCAAAGGGCACCGTGATAATGGCGAGCCACCTAGTGGCGGCATGGTGGCCACATTACAAACTTGACTGATGTGAGAATTCAGTCTGCACCAAACAGCAAGGACTAGACACATAACACTAGTTACTAACTAGTGTTCAATCAAACGGTTACACTGAGTCAAACGGCATCACGACTCTTTACTGAACATCTTTTATTGTGTTAGACTGAAGCCCAACATTCAACTCTAAGACACTGTATTAAGGACAAACCTTTCAAATTTCAGTCTTTTGTGATTTATAAAACTTGGTAATCAATAGTGTTTTTGTCGTATGCCTAAGATTGGTAATCCTATTTTATATTTATGTTCAGTTCAATATGTTACTTTCTCTTTATGTCACATTATATATATAAACCCTACTACTGGAACTGCAACATTCATGAAATTCTATACTCTGACTAAACTTTTTGTTGGTCTTCTCTAATCGAGTTACTCAGTTTGTACTATCACATTACCTCTAGGTTTAGATTCCCTTATAATGTCAAGTAATATTGTCTTTTAACTCGTTTTGGAATTTAAGACTTGAAAGGACAATTTGCGTTTCCATTTTGAATTAACTGTTAGATAATTCAGCTTTGATAAGCGAATGAAATTCAAGTCAGTTTCGACTTCGCAGTCGATTGATTGTGCGTTGGTGGCACAGCAGTAGAATGCTCGCCAACCATGCAGGTGGTCCGAGATTCCATCCCCGGCCGCCAACACACTCGTTTACCTCGCTAAGACAGTAATATGACTGGTAATGAGGGAAGGTTGGGCATGAGGCTGGCTAGCAACCCCATCCTGTGAAAATAAACAACACTTCTACTGAAACTTTAAGCCCTATGTTCCACTGGGAACGTAAAGGAATAGAAAAAGTCGATTGATTGGACAAAAGTATTCAGTCTGTCGCTCCTATGACTCCTATGGTCTAGTAGATAACACACTTTAGCTTTTGAAATGATAGGTGAATTGGGTTCGAGTCTGACTGAGAATTCAGGTACGTTCAGAGGATGAGTCCCAAATGGGCATCCTAGTTTCCATTGCTATTTACTACCCACCAAATTATTTGAGATTCAAGTATATTAGTAAGGCTTGTCATTAGTTTGTAGACTGAAATTCACTGGGTAAAAGGTTTATGAAAAGGTGGGGGGGGGGGGGTAAAGTCATGTTGGACGTAATGTGCACCCTAGCTTCCATGGACATTAACTTGTGTATGCATTGCAACTAGATTATAATATATTTAGAGAAAACTAAATCAGAGAGCCTGTATGTATGTCTGTGGTTCAAGTGGTAGAGAATGTTCGCCAACCACGGACTCCTTAACAACGTCCAGGTGGTATGTAGTAAGCACGGAAAAAGGAGGAATGTTGGACTTGAGGCTGGAAACTCCATCCCTTGGAAGCAATACCAGGACTGATACTGAAACTTCAAGTCTTCAGGCTTGAAACTCTACACTTTCCACTGGGTACTCAAAGGTAGAAGAAAAATCGGGAAGTTTAATTTAATTAATCGCCACCTCTAATTTGTTATTTCAAGCATGTCAAATATAACATTTTCTGAAGGTGTTATTTGTGTATAAGTGAAAGTGCAACTGTGATTTTGAACAGTAGATCTGAAATGATATTTCCTTAAGGTCCACAGACAAGTACTTTTTTCCCACATTATTATTTCCATTGTCTTTATCGTTTCCTATCTAGCGTTTCTGCACTACTTAAGTTATTATTTAACTTTCGGCCAGTGGTTCCCCGTTTCCGATCCAACTGCGAACATCTAACTTTTACAACTAGACTTGTGAATATGCAAGTCTACCTAGGGGCGCAGTGGTAGGAATGCTCGCCGACCACACATATGGTCCGGGGTTCGATCCCTGGCCGACGCACTCCTTTATCTCGCTAAACCAGGCCGGCAAAGAGGGAAGGTTAGGCATGAGGCTGGCTAGCAACCCCTTCCTGTAAAAAATACACACCACTGCTACAGAAATTTCAAGCCTCTAGCTTGAAGCCCTATGTTCCACTGGGAAAGTGAAGGAATAAAGAAAACCTAGGGGGTCTGTAAGACCTTGATTCCAAATCTATCTGGTATACATGGGCTCTAGAATTCAAAAGGACTGAATGGTGTATGAACTTGTTCTAGTACCTGGAAACCATGGCAACGCGGCTACTGACGGTGCTTCAATGCCTAGTGTCAGGATTACACTTCAAATCACAGGCTCGGGGTAAGTGTGGGTGGGTGGGTGGTACCTCGGCCTGGACGTCTGGGCAGTATCCTATCTCTCACAAAAATCAATAAGATGTTGTGTAGTGCATCTCTTAGTGCTTGTATTTCATACCAAGTCTGTGTTTTAATGATAATAATCCCACTCCGTCTAGCTTAGCCTGGGTGGCTGGTCAGAATAACTAGAACTTATACAGTCAATGTGTCTCCATGGCCTCTGTTGGGTAACAGTTTTGACTGCACTGACGTTGTCCTAGATTATGTATTTGTAAAATCCCTTATTACTATTATTATTATTTTCTATATTTTGGTTTGTAAGGGTTAGTTATGTTTTTACGAGTAGATCACGGATTGATATCAGTTAGAGAACCATTGAAAACACTCCACGGAGTACTGGACAGCTGTTTCATCCTAGTTTGGGAATCATCGCCAGTACGCACCCACTGGGGTTCGAACCCAGGACCTTCCGGTTACAAAGCAAGCTCGTATACCATTCAACCACTGGGACCCGATTCAATGGCCAACTCATGAATTCTAACTTCTACCAATTCTTGATTTAGCGCGACCCCAACCATTGTCGTTGGTGGGACATCCATCCACACACGTGACGTCTAATTGGACCTCACTGGTCAAGACTTCTCACTAGAACTCCAGGAAACTCCGTCCGTCCTGTAGCAAGTCACTAGCGAGCATCAGATTAATTTTCTATAGTTTAGTTTGTAAGAGTTAGTTATGTTTTTACGAGTTGATCACGAATTGATATTATTATCATTATTATTTTCTCAATGATGCTTTTTTTCAAAGGGTGGTGAAGTCTTCTCCTATCCAGAAGATTCAATGGTCACAGATCCAAAACTGGCTGAACATTTAGCCCATTTTGGCATTGATATTATGCGTATGCAAAAAACGGAAAAAACAATGGCTGAACTGGAAGTGGATGCTAATGAGAGGCTTGGTGAATGGCTTACTCTACAAGAATCGAATCATTCCCTTGAAGCACGTTATGGTCCTGGTATGACTGGACTTAGAAATCTTGGTAATACATGTTATATGAATGCTGTAATACAGGTAAGAGTTGTAGCACATATGTATAATAATTGTCTCTTTTTCGACCTTTATTTGTTATCCGTTGTTTTCTAAGTGTTAGAGTATGCGATTGATATTGTCCTAATACGTGTGAATAAGCTGACAAAGCACAGAGTCTTCTGAACACTTTGAGCTGCAATCTTCGAATGTTTGACATGCGATTCACTCCTGTCAAATGTAAGATGATGCTGCAGGACTGGACTACGCAGACTTCTGGCTTAAAGGCAGATGGAAGTGAAGCGGTGCATCAACCGTAATGGACTGATTGCTGATGACATCTCAGCACGGATATAGAAGGTTTATATGGCATATGCCAGTTTATACCGTCTCTGGCGTAGACGTAATATCCGGCTGATTATCGATTGGGGGACGTATGCACATATGCAGCAGTTCTCTCTGTCCTGCTTTATGGTTGTGAGACATGACCATTCAAAGTGGAAGATATTAAAAGGCTGGCTAACTGTCTTTGTGTTAAACGGTATAATAGGGTGAGTAATACTGAGGTTAGGTGTCGGGTGTTAGATGGCTAGGACAAATGGCGCGGATTCCGAGCCATCAGCTTCCTCGATGAGTGATTTCAGCTGATATTTCAGATTACTTTGGAAAAGAGTTTGGGGTGGTGAAACCAAAACTTGGAATTCGTTCATGCAATCTTAGACAGTTAGTCTGAGCCAAGTGGGGGGGGGGAGGTGTAGACTCCCATTCGGTTGTCAGGTCTTTGGGATTCGAAGAACCAATGGCTAGAGACTATTGGTGATAGAGCTGAAAATCTTTCTCAGTGGTGCGAGTGCATTCACTCTTTGTGGTCTCATTTATCTCTTTTGTCTACCTTTATATGCTACATGGTGTATGGTAGCCTGAACTGGTGAACTTCTGTGCGAAGTTCTGTGTTAAAATTCGGTTAGTGAGTCGGTCAGTCATTTCATTTAGTATCCGAATGATGGTTGTATTCATTAATTGCCAATTTGTCTTACATAACTTGCGATAGGAGACAGTATTTCCCAGACACAACACTATGCGTCGGTGGCACAGCGGTTGAATGCTCGCCAATCACTCAGGTGGTTCGGGATTCGATCTCCGGCCGCCAACGCACTCCTTTACCTCTCTATGCCAGTGATAAAACTGGTAATGAGGGAAGGTTGGGCATGAGGCTGGCTAGCAACCCCATCCTATAAAAATAAGCACCACTGCTACCGAAATTTCAAGCCTCTAACTTAAAGTCCTGTGTTCCATTGGGAATGTAAAGGAATAAAGAAATATACATATCTGACCAGTGGCGTATGTATGCGTAAGAGGAAGATGACCAAGGACATAAGCGCGGGCTGACCTTGCTCACCATCTTGCCATAAACATGTGATTTGATTTTGTCTGACTACATATCGGCTTGAGAGCCGTTTCGTCCTGATTTGTGGCTCTTCATCAGTATTCACTCAATAACCTCACTGAAAAACAAACTTGGGACTAAGAGACCCCCGGACCATTCGATCACTGCATACTGTCGAAGAGTAACGAATTGGGATGAAACAGGTGTATCCAGTACTCCATGGTTCTCAGTGATTCTCCGATGGATATCAATTCGTGATGACACTAGAATAACAGCTTTGTAGTTTCAGTAGCAGTGGTTGTTTTTTTACTTTTACAGGGTAGGGTTGCTAGTTTCACGCTCAACCTTCCCTGTTTACTGGCCTTACCTACCGTCTTAGCGAAGTTTGTGGTATGGGTGCGTTGGCGGTTGGGGATTGAATCCTGGACCTCTGGTGCGTGTTGGCAAGCGTTCTACCGTTGAACCGCTGACGCTATATCGATGTGGGTGGAGATGCCAAGGAACAACAGACTTAGGACTCCTCGCAGGTTAAGTGATGAAGAGAAGTTTTATTGATTTTATTGAATTCGTTGTCTGTAACCGAAACAGTATTGTGTCTTATGCTATTTCTTAATAATGATTTTCACTCCTAGGTATTATTTTCAATTCCACAATTTCGCTCATACTATGCCTATCAATTACCGATATGGTCTGAAGAGGCACTGAGTCAATTCACTACCGCTTCTAGTACTGGCGGCGGCAGTCATCAGTCACATTCCCTACTACCAGTAGATCATATTGGCTTACAATTTTCAAAGCTGGGCTATGGTCTTTGCTCTGGTGCTCATTCATGGTTAGTTCCAAATAACCATAATAATAATACAAATCATCCAATGGAAGGACCTGTACCAATTCTTCCAGGTTAGTTGCAGCACCTTTTTTGTCTACTGTACCTCTTACTTTACTTGGATGTCATTTAAAATGACCACTTTATTTCTGTATGTCTCTAGTTTGCATTTCTTCTCTGGCTTTATGTGGTGAGTAAAGTATGGCGACTTGAACTGCTGGACATCTGTGCAAAGCCTATGTTGAAACCAGATAGATAGACAGACAGACAGGCAGATAGACAGACGAGTGGGGGATAGTGTTATAAGACCCTTTACACACAAAAATCGGTTTATAGATTAGTACATACATACATTGGAAGTGTTTTTGGAAGTGTGTGGGCGGTTGTTACTTCCCGGCTGCCCACACCGTAGAAGTTGGTTGAGTCTTCGGGTACCTAAAATAGAGAAAAGGTTAGTGTTGCGTGACCGCAGAGTCCAGGGGACAGCTGCTTGAGGCCGGTCACACGCGGCCTGTTTTTGTTCGTTCTTTCTTGTGTCGTGTGTCTCAGTAGCATATTTATCACTTCTGCCCTGTGTGTGACACAGCAGCAGGAAGCGCGGTCGTTGTTAATCCGGGCCCCAACCGATCCGGCATGATATTTTGTGAATTTGTTTGAATCATAATTATTAGATTGGGTAGCTTCTTTTTATCTAACCACTATCCAAACAACCTTTCTGACATGGTAGGACCTACAGGAACATAAGTTCCAGCCAGTGTAGCTCGTTGGGTCATTGCGATATGCAAGCCCGACCACCACGTCAAGGTAGCAGCTATCGGCCGGGTGTGCTGCTCAGCAGTTTACTCTGTCCTCCTTTATGGCTGTGAGACATGGCCGCTTAAAGTGGAAGACATGAAAAGGCTGGTTGGCTGTCTTTCATCATAGGTGTCTGCGTTCTATCTCCCGCGTGAAGTGGTATGATAAGGTGAGCAATATTGAGGTTAGGCATTAGTCGAGTGCTAGGTAAGGCGGGGAAATCAGTCGACGAGACTATGAAATTCCATCGACTGAGAGAGGTGGTTAGGACATGTGTTACGTATGCCTAGTCATCGCCTTCCTCGACTGACGGGCAATGTTAGCTGATATAGGGCCAGTCTGGAAAAGAGCTAGCGGCGGTCAAGCGAAAACATGGCACCAGTCAATGAAATCTACAACAGTCAGTCTAAGCCACGTAGGAAGGTGTAGACTTCCTGGTTGGGGTCCTCGGGACGGTAAAAACCAATGAAGGCTGGAGACAATTGGTGATATGGCTCAAACTCATCGTTCTCGATAGCTGGTGCAGATGCATCCACTCTTTGTGATCTATATATATACTGTCTCTACTATGCATTTCTCCCACTTTCTTCTCTTGCTTTGTGTGCTACATGAAGGGAGTGTGGCGACTAGAACTGCCGCACATATGTGCAAAGTTCTGTGTCGAAAACCGACCGACATACATACATACATACAAAAGGGTACTGAACTGAGTAAAACTGATCTCCATTATAGTGGGGGAGGGGCGTGGTGTGGTGGTGGTGGTCTGTTACATACCACCAAAAGCACATGATTGATGCGCTAAGCTGTATACATTAGTGTTGTTCACTCCGTGTTGTTGTGTTTGGATCATACAAACACGATCACCTGATATGGTGATGCATTTAGCATTGGAATGAAAGACCATTTAATAAAATGTGCGTTTTTTTTATTGAGCGAAACAACCCTGTATTGTATAGTTTTATAGTACAGAGTTTCTTAAATCTATTTCTCCGAAAAAAGGTACAATAATAACACCAGAAAAGAAGCACATTTATGTGAGCTACAATATTTGCTGCATCATTTCAATCCAATGATGAATGAACTAGTGGATTTATCATAATATAGGGTTGATCAATGACATTGAACTCACTTGAAGAAGGAACTTTTCAAAGGCCTTCGAAAACGTCGACTGTGAGGTAATTGGAAAACTGTTTTGTAACACTATGGAGTGTAGTGACGCGAACTTTTATAAATCTCATTCAACAGCATGCTAAATGCTTCACAACGGACATGGGTTTCACTAGCTACAGACACAACAAAAATTAGATGGACTTTATTTCAATCTCAGGGATGTGGAGATTTGTCATCATTGCAGAAGGTTTGGATGGAAGGAGGTCTACCTTGTCAGACTTCTAAATATGGGGAAGAAGAGTCTTTGTAGAAACTCGCGCAGAATCATGCTCCCGTCCCCATGTCAAGCAAAATATCAAGTCGCGCCATCCTGGAGAGAATGAAACATTCTCTGGATGCTAAACTCTGTCTGAAACGAGTTGGATTGAGGGAGTCTAAATCAAATCGCAACGCTGTGCATCATTGTCGAACAGAGCATAGATAGGATGGTAGTCAAACCTCAAACTCAACTTCATCGATTTTGTAAAGGCCTTTGACAGCGTTGACGGCTGCAATACTTTGGAGTGCCCCATATCTTTATCAACTTCGCTCAATAGATATATGATGATGCCACACGTCAAGTGGTTCACAATAATTGAGCAAAGAATATCCCCCTTTCGATAATTTCCTCCTCTTCTGGCTCTACAATTATTTACGTATATGTTTATATACATAGAATATTCTAGAATTGTAGTCAATAACAGTATTAGTGTTTTTTTAAATAATATCAATTCGTTAAGTAAGATCACAATGGAATTACAGTTCATTAAAGATGCTTAAATTATAATAAGCATACAAATATAGTAGCAAATAGCTTATCAACTAAAACTGGGAAAATTCCACAAAAATTGAGGATCATTCAAACCTATATGGCCAAGGTAAGGACAATGTCTGAACTAGCCTATTTTGGACACATAAATTAGGCTTCTTAATGTGGATCCCAACGGCCTCTGCAATATTTAGTAATCGAACTCTTAGGGCGAAGTTAAGATTTGTTGGTATGCGGTAAATGACTTTGAAAGCCTGGTTAACATCAATCTTGTATTCCGTATCCACAAGATGGGAAAGAATAGCGCTACGGATAGATTTTGTTTGTTCTTTACTCAACCAGGCAGGGTGATGTTTGGAAATCCGATGAGAAACACACCTGATTGTACGGCCTATGTAACTGGCTCACTCCACAGGAGCAGTTAAATTGGTAGATACACATACAAGAGGCGAAATTAGGCAGTTTGTCTTTTACTCCTGAACGCAAAATAGGGTTGGGTGGTTTTGAAAACACAGCATAATTTAGCAGCAGGGAATGTTCTTTTTACCGCCGTATTCCTAAGGCATTGTGTTAGTATCTCGCTGATGTTGTCCCCAAGGAACTGAATTTGTAATGGTAGAGCCAGAAGAGGAGGAAATTATCGGAAAGGATATTCTTTGCTGGCTCAATTATTTTGTGTTTTATAGGTCTAACTATATGTCTAACAGCGTCGGTGACACATCGGTAGAATGCTCGCCGACCACGCCTCACGTGGTCCGGGGTTCCATCCCCGGCCGCTAACGCACTCGTTTACCTCGCTCACTAAGCCAGTAATAAGACTGGTAAAGAGGGAAGGTTGGGCATGAGGCAAGCAGCTGAAGACATTGGCTAGCGGCCGCGCTATATCTTGAATTGTCAGAAGTTAGAATTCATGGGCTGACTGGCCATTGGATCGGGTCGCAGTGAGTGACATAATGGTCTACGAGCTATCTCGCCTTGTAACCAGAAGCTCCTGGGTTCGAACCCCGTGGTGTAGGTGAGTACTGATGAAGAGTTCAAAACTAGGACGAAGCAACTGTCCAGTACTCCCAGCTTGTTTTCCAATGGTTCTCTAACCAATGTCAGCTCATGATGAAATCCTGTAACCAAAAAACCACTGCTACTGAAACTTCAAGTCTTTAGCTGGGAACGTAAGGGAATGAAAGAAAAATCTGTCTAACGTGTGTACAGCTATCTAGGGTAGGTTGTTTAACATTACCTATCTGCCTACTATCGATGAATCACCTCTTTCTTTCCTTGTTTTCACTCTAAAAATCCAACCTGAAGGTATTCGTCCATTGTTATTCCGTCGTCTAATGGGAATGCATAATTCTACATTTGCTACAAAACAACAACAAGATGCATGTGAATTTCTTGTCTACCTTCTGGATTTATTAGATCAAAAAGCGAAGGATAAAGAACACGGTAACTTGCATCCAAGTAGTGTTATGCGTTTCGGTGTAGAAGAACGCCTACAGTGTGGTTTAACTAAGAAGGTAGGATTTAAATTTTCCACTCTTTTGTTTTATTTCATTTTTACACTATTTAATTCAATGTGTTTTTGGTTTAATAGCTCTTTCTTTTTGTTGATATTGTTATTGTTTGAACTCAGTGCAGTCATAATTCACCTGGTGGTGGTTACTTTGATTGGACACTAGTCAGTGACTCGTGTGATGTATCTAGTCCTTTCTTTGGTGCAGACTGAATTCTATCAGTTGATAGCCCTACGCCCAACCCTTCCTGTTTATCCGGACTTGGGATCGGCTAGAAAAACAGAAAGCTAGTTAACTACGCGAGGCTATTAATTTGTTAGCCATGATATAATGAATTCAGCGAATTTTGGTAGCACTACTCTTCAACTGCTGAATACTATATATATAACATTAGAATTACATTGGCAGGTACAAGATTGATAAGCAAATAAAGTGCATTGAATTCACCAGGCAAAACGACAGGTACGATTGTTTTTCAGGTCATGTTTAAACAGTCATACTCCTCCTTTCCCCTTAACTATTTGTACATGTCCTGAAAAATATTCACACCTGTCATTTTGCATGATGTAGTTAATTTGCTTATCAGTCTAATATCTTCTAAAGTAATATTTGTTGCTTGTTTTAAATTCGTATAGGGCAATAAATGTTTCCAGATTCTCTAATAATGTAATCAAACTTTTAATTAATATAATTAATCAGTTAATTGTAATATTATATTAATATATATACCTTTGCGCTGATGGGGTGTGATAATCTGAAGTCTAAATATTTACTGGAGTGGGTTTTCTTCTTGAATATAGATATACCGAAATGTCCGTTTTCCCTCCTCTTAACTAGGCAGGCAGTCTAGAAATGGTAGTTCACTGACGTCTGATTCTACTTCTGAAGTAAACTGGATTCTGGAAGATACATTGTTTAGTTTCTCCAAGAATGAAATGTGTAGATCTCGTTTTAGCACTACAAAAGTATCATCATATTCAGGAAGAAAACCAACTCCAGCAAATATGTACACTTCGGATCATCACACCCCAAATCAGCACGAAGGTATCAGTTGTTTCAAGTCTTCTTAGACAAGCATACCTTTTGATGTTAACGGATGAGAAGGAAAAAGACGAAGAATTATCAAACATTACTGAGATTCTCAAGCAAAATAACTACCCAACAAAACCAACAATGAGATTAAATATGGTCGAAAACCTATTCCGAAAACATGGACCTCAACAGATGTCATTCTTTATAGAGCGGAGACATCAGACGATTTCTGAATAGTACTCTATAAGCTGGACATCAAAGTTTACTTCAAAATATCAGACACACTGCGAAACAACCGTGTCCATATAAAAGGCCAAATCCCTAAAGATTCTCAAACTAATTGTGTCTATAAAATAAAGCGCATGCTTGAAATGTGATGCGATATACATCGGACAAACATCGCCAGAGAAAAATCAAGATCAGAAGGAATGCACACCGTAGAGCCGCCTCCACTCGCCCACCGAGAAATCCAGTTGAACTAGAAAAGCTTAAAAAATCGTCGACACGCTATAGAATCAGGCCATAAAATTGATTTTGACAATATTGAAATAATTCAGAAAAATTTCAGAAATCACAAAGAACGTCTAATATAAAGAGAAGCAGTTCATATCATCGAATAGAATCCAAATTGTCTGAATATGACTGATGAACTAAAACGGAATTTGACCTGGTTACAACACTCACCCCTCCCCCATGAAGTGATAAAATCAACACGAATATGATTAGCGATTTCATGGTGTAAACACACGCTGTTTTTATAATTTAACACACTTATCAAATCCAACAATCTACACCTACCTGGTTTTGTTATCTTTACCAACTGGCCAACTTGACAACGCAAAAATGACCCCACGCTGAGGAACAATGATGATTAAGTTGTTATATATAAGCTGAGATATTGTAAATTCTTCTGGTTTAATATTACTACTTTGATAAAGCTATTAGCAGCAGCATTAAATAGCGAAACGTCAGTAAACATACAACAATATCTTTTTAGAAAACAGAGAGATTGAGCGAAGAAATATTTACTTTTCGAATAGATCCTCATCTCACTCTGGCTCTACTCTAATATATTTCTGTATAGCATTTTTATTACAATACACAACAATTTTACCAATCAAGTGGCGGTATGTTTGTTCACAATAATTAGTCAGTATCAAAATGTCAATGGGGTGATAACACAATTAAAAGGTAGAAATGATTAAAACACGTGGATTGCGTAATGCGTAATTTTGGAAAAAATGAAGAGTAATTAAGGAATAAGCGTGTGCACAGGTTGATAACGTAACAGATTGTTAAAGAAAATGAAACGATTTGGACAATGATAATTTGTAACTAAGGTTGAGGTGGTCATAAGAATAACATAATTTTACAAGGATAACATGTAATTAAAGCTGAAGTAGTCAGAAAAATAACAAAATAATTTGGACAATTATAATTTTTATAATTTTTAAGGTTTAGGGGGAGAGGTGCAAAGTTGTCCGGCTTATACAGTCATGTAACGATGGTCAGAGTAAGGAAAGTGGCTGTACAAATTTCTTCTGAACACACAGGTTTGGCTTTCTCAGGTGGATTCGTATTGCTTCAGCTGTATGTAGAAGACGAACTCGTAAAGCAAAATTAAGGTTAATAGGAATGCGATATATTATTTTAAATGCAGTATTGACATCAACCTTATGCTCAGTATCAACAAGGTGTGCTAAAATACAGCTACGAATAGATCTTGTTTGTCCCTTGCTTAATCATGCTGGATGGTGTTCGGAAATACGATGATGAACCTGCCTAATTGTACGCCCGATGTAGCTGGCTCCGCAGCTGCAGTCAAACTGGTAGATACACATAGATGAGGCAAATTTAGGTACTTTATCCTTATTTCTCGAACGTAGAACAGGGATGAGTGTGAAGAGATAACGTACCTCTACTGCATAATAAGCTCTTTTAACTGCATTCTTCAGGCGCTGTGTTATTATTTCGTTAATGTTATCACCGAGGAACTGCAGTTTTATGAACAGTGGTATTTTGGAACTGGTGCCATACCGACTCTCCTAGGTGCTGAATTCATATTTTTCTCAGTGAACTTATCTGCATAACTATTTTACCAAGTAATAATAATAATAATAATAATAATAATAATAATAATCTTAAGCTCCTCATTGAGACAGTCGTCTGAACAGATTAACCTAGCTCTCTAAACCAGACACTTTACCAGGTTACGTTTATATTTCAAAGGTACAAAACTCAAAAAATGAGTGTACTGACCTGTTGTTGTAGGTTTCCTATACATACTCCTTCTTAGTGTGCCATCTTCTTTCCTTGCCATGAAGACGTCTAGGAATAAGATACTGTCATTACTTTCTTTCTCTATGGTAAAGTTTATTGCTGAATGTGCATCATTAAAATTGTCAAGGATGTTCATTGAATCATTCTCGTTTTTCATAACCAGAAATGTATCATCCATATGTTGACAGTAGAAATCCAAGTCATTAATTACTCCTTTCAGTGGTCCATTCTCTAACTTAGCCAGGAAAAAATCAGCTAGGATTGGACATGAGCTCTTTCAAGGTTGCAGATACGCCTTGCTGACCCAGGTCGGATTGGGCATCCTGCCGATTGCCTCCGACCATCTAATATTACCTAGTGTGTCTTTCTGGGGGAAGGTTGTTAGACAATTTTATCGGTTACTTTGCGTTTACAAAATGTGAGGCTTTTTAAGTTTAAACGCCTACTTACTATGTTTTGTTGTTGTTGTTGGTGATGTAGTTACTCAAATTTTGAACACTAATAGGTGTGTGTATTTACGGTTCAGGCGTTGGAGAATTGCTTTATAGTTTATTAGGGGGTGTTAAATCAAGTTAATCAGTTCGTAATCGTAGTGAAATATTAGTACAAGACATAAGCGAACAATATTATTGTCTTCAATTACGTCTTCAGGTTTTGACTGACTGACTGACTGGTTTCAACATAGAACTTTGCACCGGCGTGCAGCAGTTCGAGTCGCCACACTTCACTTACCACACAAAGTCAGAGAAGAAGAAGAAAGTAAAAAGAAACGTAAAATAGAGACCGTAAACAGGGATATGAAGCAAAAAAGAATAGTAATATCAAAGAACAGTAGCGTTTCATTGGAAATTATAAGTCACAAGGAGTGGATGCATCTGCACCGGCCATTGAGAACGACGAGTTTGAGCCATCTCACCAATTGTCTCCAGCTTGCATTGGTGATTACTGTCCCGAGGGCCTTAACCAGTCAGGGAGTGTACATCTTCCTACGTGGCTTAAACTAACTGTTGTGGATTTTATTAACTAATGCCTTTATTTTCGTTTGACAAACACTATCTAGCTCTTTTCCAAACTGATCCATCCTATGTCAGTCAGCTAAGATTGCCCGTCTGTCGAGGAAGGCGATCAACAGCTAGGAATGCTTGCGTTACTCATGTCCCTCTACCTAGCACTCACTCGACGCCTAACTTCGATATTTCTCACTTTCTTATACCACTTTACACGGGAGATAGAAGGACAGCTAGCCAACCTTTTCATGTCTTTGACTTTCAATGGCCGTGTCTCACTAACAGCGATAATTGGGGATGAAGCGGATTACTGCTGTTCAGACCACACGTCCTTTGATCCATAGCCATTTGGATATCACGTCTACTAAGCCAACGCTTAATGATAGTGTTATCTAGTCGATTATTCCTTGGCTCTGGAACTAGTAAATTCCAGAAGATTCATACACTAAGACTTGAAAATGTGTATTTGCATAATAAATGAGAGAGAAGAAAGCGGCCAAAAGTACAAAACTACTAAATGGTTGAAGGCAATCGGCAGGAAGCCTAATCCAACCTAGGTTTCATGCTAGTAGTTGGCACTCACCAGTCAGAAAGGCGTATCTGCAACCTTGAAGGAATACATGTCCATCCTGAGAATCGAACCCGCATCACTCAGTGAGTGCTGCAGTAGTCTGAGACGTTACCACTGAGCTATTCGAGTTCGCGATTGACCTCCTGTAGGAGTTTATTGGATATTTTCATCGGAGACTAGTTAGTAACTAGTGTAATGTGTCTAGTCATTTGTTTGGTGCAGAGTAGTTATTAATTACTGTCCAATCAAATTGCAAAAATATGTAGCATATATTGATCTAGTCACAAGGCTAGAATAGTAGGCGTTAACTGCAATCAGGATTCTGATTGCTTGACGCCCATCATGTGATTTGTTTTTATGTGACTAACGGAATAATGAGGTAAATTGTAGGTACATATACCAGATGATGAGCAATAAAAAATGGTGCTCTCGAAACGTCATTGAGTTACTAAAACTATATCACTATGTGTTATATCAAAATAAACTTATCTAATATGTCTGTGTGGAGGTCAACACTCAGCATGAAAGTGAAAATAAGATCCGGATTTCCAACTCCAATGTGAAGTCAGTCAGTGCTACTTACTATACGAATCAGAGACTTGGTACCGCGTCACGAAGGCCACTTCGAACAAACTACAGACCTCTCAATACTACTCAAGATCAGATGGGCGGCCAGAAAAGACCACCAACAGGGAGAGATCTCTGGCAATGAGCGAACCAACCCAGCAGGAACCAATTGTGCAAGAAATATGCAGGAAGAAATAGAGGTAGGTGGATTGGCCGTACTCTAAGAAAACAAACCATCAAGTGAGTGACATCACACGCCAGGCCATTGTTCGAGTGGAACCCAAACGGAAAGCGGCGATTTGGTCGTCAGTGCGAGGGTGACATGGAGGAGGAGGAGGAAGTGATGTGAAGAAGAGATGAAACCATGTGAGCAGACGTGAAACCAGGTGATGAAAACGTTGGCGGAGAACCGAACGCCATGGAGACGTGTGGTTGAAGCCCTATGTTCCTCTAGGAACTAAAGGAAACAGTAATAGTAGTAATAATATGTAGTATTCTTTAGTTTTATAAAATGTTTGAACTAATATTCCCTTCTTTTGATAATCCCGTGAAATGTATACATATATCAAGGTTTTCTCAATGAATAATTCTCTTTCTATTTTCGGTGTATGAATAGGTTTCCTATAAAACAGAACATGAATGGATACTATCTGTACCTGTGCCAATGGAAGCGGTAAAAAATCAAAAAGAAATTGATGCTTATGAAAAACGACGTATTGAAGCTGAGCTGAACGGTATACGTCTACCGCCTGAAGATGTTGTACGACCAGTTATTCCTATGGAAGTAAGTGTGATTAGGCGTTATTCTTTAACTTAAACAACAATAATAATACCATCAACAATAACTTACACTCATTTCACAAGAAGTGGCTTTCATGGAACAACGCCTAGGCGTTTAAACCGAGGTGTGTGTACTGAACTCGAGTCTCAGTGGGTACACCATCACTCAGACTGATGAGTTTCAAATAAGATGAAACACGCATCTACACTCCACTGCTAGTTTTTATCATTAATCGAAAACCTCATGGTAGTGACAAGTTTTTTTACATGTTTCTAATGATTTTTGACATTGTTATTATTCGTTGCTTTGATTCCGAATGGCACATAAGGCTTCGACAGTACATCTCATCTCTGTTGTGCTGTATTCTCTATCTTCTTTTGTTATGCTGGCTCCACAACTGCCTACAAGCTTTCATTTCCTATTTATTCATCACATGATCTTGTTCATGTCACCCTTGGATACCTAATTCAACGCTTCCCATTCATATTCCCCTCCAGGGTTTGCCTGGCGTACGATGTCACTCAACGGTTTCCTCAGCGTATATCCATTCGTTCTCCATTTCCTTCTTCTGTAAATTTGTTTGGTAATATGTTCTTGGTTGATCCGTTACTAGAGTTCTATGTTACCTATCCTTTCTGACCAACCATCTGCTTTTCTGTACCGTCAAGCAGAAGGTGCAGGTGTCGATAAAAGTCTGCATTATCCGATTGGAAATGCTTTGGTAACGTGTGTGTGTGTGTTTGGCAAATCTCTGAACGCGATTCACTTGAAACTAGTGTTCTAACTTGGGATGTTTTTCGTTGTCCTGTTTTGCTGTAGATCTCCACACTGATTTCAGAGTGATGAATGTCTGTCATGCCTTTCTGATCCAATCCTAAAAGGCTTTGGCATTCTCATGCACATCTTGCTTGTAATCGAGACGATCGTGTTGAGTTAAGAGAAAGAGATACCTTCTTTTCGATGTAGTAATAGATTGCGGTAGGATTCGAAGTTGGATTTTCACATTATTTGGAACCGTTGACGAACGGTCTCAATGAGAATAGATTGAAATGATATGTAATGCGTACATTGACCACCAACCCATGTTTTTTCCCCCACAAAATATGTTCCTCTTAGGGCTACCTTCTACCCTTTTTTGATATCTCAACCTCAAGATATGTTATAAGATCGTGTGGTTTTTCTTCCAGTTTCATAAGTAGACTTAATTCCTTGGTGATTCATATTAAACGTTTCTAGAAAACCCTCATTGTTAGTGTTACTGAGTGGAATCAAGCTATAATAAAATTAAAAAAAATTAATAAATATTCTTTATTTATTTATATTTTCTTCCAAAGGCTTGTCTATCTGCTTGGGCTGAAACAGAACAAATCGCTGACTTTAAGACACCAGCAAGTCAACCACCTGGAGCTAAAACATACGCGCTTCGGTGTAATCGTTTAACTAACTATCCAAGTTATCTATGCATACAAGTGGGAAGATTCACTGTTGGCAGTGATTGGTTACCGAAGAAATTGGATGTTGAAATTGAATTGATGCAGAAAACTTCTCAAAGTGGAAATATTAATAATACTAACTCTGAATGGTATATTGATCTGAGCAGTTTACGTGCACCAAGTGGACCAAGACCTATGCCTGGGGAACAGTTAATGCCTACTGGTGAAGAAATTAACCGTAAGTTGGTTATTGTTATTATTATTTTTCCTTATTAGAAATCAATTTTATTATTATTATTATTGTTCCCTTGGGTTCCTAGTGGAACATAGGACTTCAGCTGCACGTCTCCACTTGGGCTGGCCATTGGATTGGGTCCCAGTGGCTTAATGGTTTACGAGCTAGCTCACCTTGTAACCAGAAGGTCCTGGGTTCGAACTCTGTCGGTGGATGTGTACTGCTGAAGCGGAGTCCTGAACTAGGACGAAACAGCTGTGCAGTACTCCCAGGTGGTTTTCCAATGGTTCATCTTACCAATGTCAGCTCATGATGAAATCATGTAACCAATCAACCAAATTCCTACAAACCAACACTTAAATCCTTTTTTTGTTACTTTTTATTTCTTAAAATTAGCTGAACAACAAGCCTCGTCTGTCGATGATCATTTTCAACCGGATACAAGTATTGTTGATCAATTACTATCGATGGGTTTCAGTTTCGAGGCTGTATACAAAGCGTGTAAATTTACACAGAATAGTGGTGTTGAGAATGCTACCAATTGGCTGATGGAACATTTAGACGATCCAGATTTAAATGATCCAATGCCGAGTTCCGGTGGACAACCACAACAACAGGATAGGAATAAACGATTGAAAATTTCCGCTGATGATGAGTCTGGTATTGATGAAAACTCAATTGAAATGATGATGGCTATGGGTTTCAGTAAACAACAGGTAATTTAGTTATATATGTATATATAATATTTTATCTTTTTCTACCGCTGAAAATTCCATGCTGTAAATTGTTATTGTTGTGGAATAAAGTGATTATTATTATTATTATTGATATTAGTTAAAGAACTATTAGAAGACAGCTGTTTCGTCCCGATTTGGGACTCTTCATCTGTATAGTACTCACCCACAGGGGTTCGATCCAAAGACCTTCCGGTTATAAGCCAAACACTTGTAGGGCATTCAGCCACTGGGACCTGATCCTCATTCCTATTCAATTTCATTATAGATGTACTAATGGATTTAACCTTAACTCACTTTAGAGACTCAGGGATTGACTTGCTACCAGGGAACAATAGTCTCGTTGACTTAGAATATGCAGACGATATAGTCCTGCCTTCAAGGTGAGGACGTTGACAAAATCCGGCAGAGTCTTCTGAACACCTTGAGCTGCATTCTGGGAATGTTTGGCATGCGATTCGCTCCTGCTGTCAAATGTAAGATGATGCTACAGGACTGGACTACACTGACTCCTAGTTTAGAAATAGGGAGTGAAGTGGTTGGTGGAGCGTGTCGACCACTTCACTTATTTGGGAAGTACCATCAGCCAGTACCAACGCGTTGATCTCTGACGAAATCTCAGCACGGATACAGAAGGCTAGTTTCGCATATGCCAGTTTACACCGTCTCTGGAGTAGACGTGATGTCCGGTTGGCTATCAACCAAAGTGCGTGTGTACTGCTCAGCAGTCCGCTCCGTCCTGCTTTTATGGCTGTGAGACGTGGCCATTGAGAGTGAAAGACATGAAAATGCTAGCTAGCTGTCTTTGATCATAGGTGCCTGCGTTCTATCTCCTGTGTGAAATGATATAATAGGGTGAGCAATATTGAGACTAGGCATTGATCGAGTGCTACGTGAGTTGTAGGGTAAATCAATCGACCAGGCTGTGAAGTTACATCGACATCCTTGACAATGGGCAATGTTACCTGACATAGGGTCAGGCTAGAAAAGAGCTAGCGGCGGTCAAAATAAAACATGGCACCAGTCAATGAAATCTACAACAGTTAGTTTAAGCCAACCACGCAGGAAAGTGTAGACTTCCTGACTGGTTGGGGCCCTCGGGATGGTAGAAACCAATGAAGGCTGGATACAATTGGTGATATGGCTCAAAATCGTTCTCAATGGCTGGCGCAGATGCATCCACTACTTGTGACTTATGATTTCCAATGAAACTATGTTGTTCTTCATTACTGCTATTCCTTTGTCTCTCACCTCTGTTTACTGTTTATATTATGCATTTCTTCTACTTTCTTCTCTTGCTTTTTGTGGTACAACGAGGGAGTGTGGCGACTTGAACCGCCGCACATCGGTGCAAAGTTCAATGTCGAATACAGACAGACAGTGGCCAGCCCATCAGATCCAATATTCGCCAATTCTTAATATATATATATATATATATATATATATATATATATATATATAGAGAGAGAGAGAGAGAGAGAGAGAGCAACCGCCAGCCAATGTCATAGATGAGAGTGACTATTCTCTTACCTGATTTGGTGGGCGGCCTCGCTGGGTACGGCTTCTCTCTTAGAAGGTCCTGGATTTGAATCCCAATGGCTGCGTGCTACTGAAGAGTCTCAGACTAGAGCGAGACAGCTGTCCATTACTCTTAGATTATCCAGTGGTTGTGCAACTGATGTCAACTCATTACCATGCCCCTAGTCATTGTTTCACTACTTCTAGTTACCCCGTTATTATTGTAAAGTGGCATAAAGATATATGGCATTAGTATGCTGCTTGGTGATGATAGTGTTTGAGTGTGCACATGTGCACAGTCGTATCTGCCTTTGATAAAACAGGGTGGAATGATTATATGTATATATATATATATTCATAGTAAGCACTAATTTCATAAATATTACGTGTATTTTTTTGCAGTGTAAATAAAGTCTCTTCTCTTCTCTCACATGAAAATTCAAGCGTATGATAACATGGTTTTTTCAAGTATATTTTCGAAATATACGCGTATATTCTTAAAATAGATGTGTTTATATATATATATGCATGTAACACTATAGATCAGCTTTATGACGTCAACTGACTTGCAAAATTGGTACATTATGTATGGGCACCAAGGCATGCATACACCGCGGAAAGTCTCATAGTTTCTGCGAGGACTGGGATGCGTAGCACTGCGTGGACGCCTATTTATTTATTTAGACGCAGAAAAAAAAACTTGGTACAATATGGCACCAAGAAAGATGCGCCACACAATAATAATAAAACAACATAGATAGAAAGTAGAAAAATATAAGTAGAGAACGGATAAAGAACTTCATCTGGAAGAAAAACAGTCATGTTTAACAAGTTCAAACAGTATTCGTTAACTATCATCAGGAGGTGAAGAAAGAAGTAAATGACAGCATGTTCGCCATTGATTACGATTCTTAGCCGTATCCGATAACGTTTAGAGCCATCGATTCAAGCTATCTCGCGGACCCCAACCAGGGAGTCATGACGCACCAACCGATGCTAATCATCCCACGACGCTACGTCATGGACTGACCACCCCTCCGCCTTTTCCATCCCGTCCCAGGGCTGGCTAGCGAACAGAGACCTGTACGGAAGCCTCTAGGATGACATTCGCAGCACATGTCCAAGCCACCGGAGCGGGTATTTCCAGATGACGACACTCAGTGAATGGTGATCTCCACTGTGTTCAAACCCACTCCGCCGAACCTCAGAATTACTTACGCGATGATGCCATCGAACGCAAGCAGTCCTGCTGATCGAACACGCAGAGTCGCCTCACATCCTCAGCTCGGAGAGGCCAGGTTTCACAGGCCTGGGTTAGAGCAAGACAGCCCGCACCGGAGCATTGTATACCCGACCTTTGACAGCCAGACTAACGTCGTGACGGTGCCAGAGGTGGCTCAAGTTGATGTATGCCACCCTAGCCTTCATTATACGGTTGGAAATCTCATCCGTCACCCCTCCTCGTGGACGCCTAGACTTATATAAGGTCAGGTTGAAAAAAAGAAAGCTAGTGGTGGTCAAACCAAAACGTGTCTTTATCAGTCAGTGAAATCCACATCAGTTAGTTTAAGCTAGCTAGTCACGTAGGAAGATATAGACTTCCTCACTGGTTTGGGGTCCTAGAGATGGTAAAAACCAATGACGGCTGGAGACAATTGGTGATATGGCTCAAACACATCGTTGTCAATGGCTGGTGCACAGATGTGACTTATAATATCCAATAAAACTCTACTGTTCTTCGATATTACTATTTCTTTTGCTTCATATCTCTGTTCACTGTCTCTATTTTGCGTTTCTTTTTACTTTCTTATCTTGCTTTGTGTGCTGCATGGAGTGTGGCGACTTGAACTGCTAAACATTGGAGCAAAGTTCTACGTTGAAACAGGTCAGTCAGTGATTCAGAATGAAAATTATCGCCAATCACTGTCGAAAATTCAACTCCATGCATCCAAGAAGTGCGAGTGCATCAGTATTCTTGGAAAGAGCAGTTCAGCTTAAAAGGAAGGTAGCACCGCCTAATCTATCCATAAAAAATCCTATTATTATTCCTTTGGGTTCCGAGTGGAACACAGGACCTCAATAGAACATCTTCATCTTATCTGATTCTTTGCGGCCCTCTTTAACCGGCTCCGCAATCGTCCATAAGCTTTCATTTCCACCTCATGCCATGTCCTCCATATCATCATTCTCGGACACATGCTCAACTCGTCGTTTCCCAATCGGGTTCCACTTGTGTGTGTTTGCCTGACAGGAGATTTCACTCAACAGTCTTCTCAGAATGTGAATCCAGTCCATTTCCATTTGTTTCTGCAAATTCATCAGTCGATAGGTTCTTGGTTGGTTCGTTGCCTGCCAGACTTCGTCGTTGGTCATCCTTTCTAACCAACTGAGCTCCAGTAGGAAGCTAAAACAGCTGTTGATAAAAGTCTGCAGCCTATTGAAAGTACTTCTGGTAAAGGGTTAAGTATTTGACCAATGATTTAACGTTGGTGTTGGAAATCCGAATTTTGTTATCTATGCTGATTGTGCGTCGGTGGCACAGCGGTAGAATGCTCGCCAACCACGCCTCATGTGGTGCGGGGTTCGATCCCAGGCCGCCAACGCACTCTTTTACCTCTCTAAGCCAGTAATAAGGCTGGTACAGAGGAAAGCTTGGGCATGAGGCTAGCTAGCAACCGCATCCTATAAAAATAAACACCACTGCTGCTACGGAAACTTCACGTCTCTAGCTTCATGGCGCCCTATGTTCTACCACTGGGAACGTGAAGAAATGAAAAAAAAGTGCTGAGTGCAGCAGATTGCCACAATGATTTCAAATTGTTGAAGGTGTCTGTTTTACTTTTTTCGTTATGGCTGGTTTTGATATCCTCACTCGTGGTGTGAATGTCATCCCAGAGGCTTCTGTACAGGCCTCTGTTCGCTAGCCCTGGGACGGGATGGAAAAGGTGGAGGGGTGGTCAGTCCATGACGTGGCGTCGTGGGATGAAGGGTGTTTGTGTTAGATTAGCATCGGTTGGCGCGTCACGTCTCCCTGGTTGGGGTCCGAGAGGTAGCTCGAATCGATGGCTCGAAACGTTATCGGATATGACCAAGAATCGTAATCAATGGCGAACGTGTTGCAATTCCCTTCTTTCTTCCCTTCCTGATGATAGTTAGCGAATACTGTTTGAACTTGTTAAACATGACTTTTCCTTGCAGATGAAGTTCTCTATCCGTTCTCTACTTATATTTTTTCTACTTTTAATCTATATTGTTTTATTGTTATTGTGTGGCGCATCTTTCTTGGTGCCATATTGTACCAAGTGTTTTCTGCTGCGTGGTGTTACCTGTAGTTGAAAATATTCTGTCTAAATGAGTAACAAAAGTTGACGTCTTTCAAATTTCTCCCGTTGGCGCTGATAGAGACTTGTTGTTGTTGGTCGGGTATCTTCATCCTTATGTGTATTCTCTATGTTCACTTGATGTTCTGTCTTCACTGCCTCCTTTGTCTGCTTCAAAACACAGCAAAGTATATGGTAGAAGCACCCCTAACTACTTCTGAAACGGGTCAGCCTAATCCTAACCTGTCCCCAGCATATAAAACCTGGTTCTTATCTCAACTCATTTGGTACCTTCGCACTTGCCTGAATCATTTAACATTGGCTGGCATACATTCTTGTTGACAGTTGAAAAGTTAAGTCAACTCCATAACTCTTGTTGTGAATATTCAGTACACTTCAATATGTGTTGTCTTTTAGTGTGTGTGTGGGTGTGTGAGTGTAAGTATGTGAGTGTTTGCATTTGTGTTTGTGTGCGTAAATTGATACGCAATAACTCTCATAAACTCCTTTTCTTTCACATGTTCTCAACACGATGTGCGGAATGTTGAAATCAGGTGACTCGTTTCACTCAGTTATTATTTCTTTTTACTAAAATTAGAAAACGCAAATGTTGATGTGTGTGTGTAAATAAATGATCTCACATTTCTTTTCAACATTTTGAACAAGATAAAAATTATAAATTGTATCAGTCGATAGCGATTTTTTTGTTTTACTGAGTACAATCAGTCATATTGTATAATTCAACATTAGACTTTCCCGTCGATTGATTAGAGCGAAGTGCTCACTCTCAGGTTGACATGTCGGCTTCTTGTGTAGATGCTTCGACGATGTCTAAAATTGAATTAAATAATTAATATGATCTGTTGTACAAGAGGTGGCTCTCGTGGCCCAGATTGTCTAGTGGATAACGCTTTGGTGTTTGAAACTATATAGGCAATGGGTTTGAGCCCCAGTGGGAACATCATCACTCAATGACTGGGGAATGCGGGTACATCCAGTAGCTGGCAAGTCCCAAACAGGACGAAATGCACGTTATCCTGGATTCTACTGCCGCTAGTCACCATCCACCAATTAACTTCTAATGACATCGTATACTGAAAATTGAATGTTCAATGTAGGACATTGCTGCACAAAAGTGCCTGATATATCCGACTGTCGATCAAAGAACGTAAATACTGCGCAGGAGTTCGCTTTGTCCTTCATTATATCTGTGAGAAATGGCTATGCAAAGTGGAAGATATGGAAGCGGCTGGCTAACTAACTACCTTTGAGTACAGATGTTTGCTGTGTATCTCCTATAGTAACAGGGGTAATATGGTGAATAGTGTTGAGGTTAGGCGTCGAGTGAGTGTTAGGTAAAGGTGTGTGAAGTTGCATTGGTCGAGATGGCTAAGACTGATGTTGTACATGCCGACCCGTCCATTTCTTTTGTCGACTTAGCAATGTTAGCTGACATAGGATAAATCAGGTTGAAAGAAAGCTTGTGGTAATCGATGGAAAACATGGCAGTTCTTTTGAGTCACGCGTAGATAGAGGCGTAGACTGTATAGCTGGTGTCCTTGGGTTGTTAGGAACCAATGACTGTAGACATTTGGTGATATGTCTTAGAATCGTTCTCAGAGGTTGTAGAGGCATTTACTCTGTTTGATCTCCCGTATCCACGTTATTAAAGCAGGATTTAATGAATTCATCAAATTTCGGTAGAAGTACTCTTCAACTGCTGAATATCCATGCATTCTAACTCCTGTCAATTCACGAACTTACACCTCCTTGTGAATGACTACAGGATAAAGTTGCCTGGAGTTCTAGTTAGACGTCGTGACCAGTGAGGTCCACCAGGTTGTGTATGTGGACAAATGTTCACCTATGATATTAGCTAGCTGGTGGTGGTCATGCTGAAATCGTGAATTGGCAGAAGTTAGTGTTGTTGGACTGTTGGATTGCTTTGTAGTAGTGGAATAGTCAATGGGTTCACCTTGTACCCTGAAGGCCTTGGGGTTTGACTCCCGATACGTAGGTTCATGGGAGTATACTGCCGAAGAGTAACAAGGAAGGGCGAAATAGATGTCTGGTTCTAACATAGAACTTTGCACAGATATGCAACAGTTCCAGTTGCCACACTCTCTCCATGTAGCACACAAACCAAGAGAAGAGAGTAAAAATAGGTCCAAAAGACAGATTATAAACAGAAGTGTGAGTAAGGGAAAAATAATGGTAATATGGTGGAGGAACAATAGAGTTTTATTGGATATCGCTGACAAATCACAAAGAGGGAATGAGCTGCACCAGCCATTGAGAACGAGGATTTTGAGCCAACCATATCGCCAATTGTTTCCAGCCATTACTGGTCCTTACCATCATGATGACTCTAACCAGCCACGCCAACCTAAACCTCTCTATGTGACTGACTGGCTAGTTTAAACTAACTTTTATGGATTTCATTGACTGATGAAGACATGTTTTCGTTTGACCACCACTAGCTATCTCTTTTCTAACCTGAACCATCCTATACCAATCAGCTAACACTGGCCATTGTCGAGGAAGGCGATTAATGGCTAGGAATGCATGCATAACACATGTCTTAACCATCTCAATCGGTATAACTTCATAACCTCGTCGATTGATTTCCCCTTCTCACCTCAATAACACTCGATGCCTAATCTCAATAATTACTCACCACCCCACCTAACATACAAGGGAGATAGATCGGAGACGCCTATGATGAAAGAAGGCTGGCCAGCCTTTTCATGTCTTCCATTTTCACTGTCGGCCATGTCTCACCAACAGGGATAAAGGGGGATTGAGCGAATTGCTGCTTTTAAGTGCACAGGTGCTTTGTCTAAGTAAAGGTGTAGTAAGACCATCAACAGTTCGATACTAGATCTTCTGGTGCAAACCGGCCAACCACAAAGCCAGCCAGCATTGAAGAATCCTTCTCTATCATCATCTACCGGGTGCCTAATAAATTGCCAAAAACATCGAAGTACCACATACTCCAAACAGCAGAGGCTATCGCAATTCGCGTGAAACAACCAGTGCTTTGTGTGCAAAAGAAGCAAGTTCAGCCAGCCACTACTACTGCCCTGGCCAGCCTTCAGTGGAGACTATAAATTCATGAATTTGTATTATTATCTTTCCTAATTTCTCTGTCTGACATTCAGTGTGTATTGTTATGTTGATGCTATTGAACTGTAATCCATTGATATTGTTATTATTATTGATTCGATGTTATTTAAACAACATTAATGTTGTTCATAACACTAATTCATTCATTCATTCACTATTATGTATGTATACATAACTGTAGAGCCTGATGATGAAGAGCAGGTTATCAAAAAGAGTATTCTTTACAGGATTTCATCATGAGCTGACATTGGTTAGAGAACCATTGGAAAAGAAGCTGGGAGTACTGGGTAGCTGTTTCGTCCTAGTCTCGCACTCTTCATCAGTACACGCCCACCCCACGGGGTGTTCGAACCCAGGACCTTCTGGTTACAAGGCGAGCTAGCTCGTAGACCATTAAGCCAATGGGATCCCATCCTTTGTTTCTTGGCTCAGTAACCATTCTTTTGAGGAAAATGTTAATGGGTATTTTTAATCAGTTTTAATTTGTTAAAGTCTACTAACTGTTTTATGTATTTATTGATTTTACAGGCAGTCGTTGCTCTCCAGTATACAAACAGTAATTTAGAACAAGCTGCTGATTGGGCATTAAGTAATCCAGATGAATTAGAAAGTCTATTACATCAAGCTTCAATGCAAAAATCATCTGGTCATCAAGCTGCAACCACTACAAACGCCAACACCAGCAACAGCAGCGACGGTGCTAGCGCCAATTCAGATCAGCCACCACTTACAGATGGTGATAGTCCACTCTATGAATTATTCGCGTTTATCAGTCATATGGGAAAATCTACGAATGTAAGATAAAACGCTTCAATTTTTTGTTGATGTAATTTTGTATCTTTGTATTGTTTCCCATTCATCCCCTTGATAGTGTAATTGCTTCTCTTTATGGTGTGTTTTGAACTTTCATGAAGGTAGAGAGAGAGTGCCCATGGAATCATTGCTCTGGTCAGAACTTCCTTGAGTTCACTACAGTACATGTTAGACCACGAATTGATATCAGTTAGAGAACCATTGAAAACTAACTGGGAGTATTGGACAGCTGTTTCGTCCTAGTTTGGTACTCATCGGCAGTATGCACCCATTGGGTTTTGAACTCAGCTTCAAGGGTAGGTTTCAAAGTCTTACTAGTGGTTCTGCCTACTATCGCCAATGATTTTCCTGATTGTAGCAGAATTGGATAATGCGACAAACAGCGGGCAATGAGGAAACAGGCATAAAATGGACTCACACAAAAACTTGGAGGATCTGGACTTCGCCGATGATATATGTCTGATTTCCCACAAACTGGAAGATATGCAAGTGATGAAAAGTAACAAGTTGGCAGAAGAAGCATCAAAGATAGGACTACATTCAGGTGAACATAGAGAAAACAGAGGTGATGAAGATTCCTGGCCAACACCACCAACAGCAACAACAACAACAACATACAACAATCAGCATAAATGGAAGGAACCTGAAAGAAACAACCTCTTTTAACCTACCTGGGAAGCATCGTTCCAACTACAGGCGGACGGAACTGATGAGGGTATCAGAGCAAGCATCGGGAAAGCAAGACAAGCTTTCATTACTCTCAAGTCTGTATGGAGGTCAACAGCACTCAGAACTCAGCATGAAAAATAAGATGCGTATTTTCAACTCCAATGTGAAGTTAGTCAGTGCTGCTTACTATACGGGTCAGAGACTTGGCGTGTCATAAAGAGCACCTCAAACAAACTATAGACCTTCATTAACAGTTGTCTTCGCTCAATACTTAAGATCTGATGGCCGGCCAGAAAAGAGTGGCAACAGAGATCTCTGGGAGCGAACCAACCAGGAACCGATTGTGCAAGAAGTATACAGGAAGAAATGGAGATGGATTGGCTGGCCGTACTCTGAGGAAACCATCATGTGACATCACAAGACAGGCCATTGCTCGAGTGGAACCCGAAAGGGAAGTGGCGAGTTGGTCGTCAGTGCAAGGGTGACTTGGAGGAGGTCATGTGAAGAGGAGATGAAATCATGTGGGCAGACTTGGAGCCAGGTGAAAACTTTAGCAGAGTACCGAACGCAATGGAGACGCACGGCTGAAGCCCTATGTTCCTCTAGGAATTAAAGGAAACAATAATAATAATACTAGTGGTTCTGGGGTTGGTAATCGCACACCTAACCCTCCCTCATTTTACGCGGCTTACGATCGGTTAAGCAAGGTGTAGCAGTGCGTCCGTGGTTGGAAACTGAACCTGAGCCTGGGTCTTTCACATGACGTGTGGTTGGCGAGAGAATTGTACCAGTGAATCACCGATGCACATCTTCAGACAACAGTGGTTATAAAAAAATATAGTGTATATGTGAAGTTTTATAATTCAAGTCTCACGGGTTGAGTTGTAGTCATTTGGAAGAGAGTAGTGATGCAAACGAACATGATAAGTTTAATAACTTATGTTCAAAGGCACTGATGTAACCTAGGTAAAAGGGGTGGATGTTAGAAGTTAGAATTCATAGGCCATTGGATAGATGGATGATCAACGAGCTCATCTTGTAACTCTTTTAGGTCTTGGGTTCGATCTCATGCATGGGTGTGGTACTTCTGAAGTACTTTAGATGACTAGGATGAAACAGTTGTCCAGGACACCTTGATTTTCAGTGGTTCTCTAACTGATATCAATCTTTAATCAAATTTGGAAAACAGAAAGATTGAGCGAAAAAATATCCACTTTTCAATTAGATCCTCATCTCTGGCTGTACTCTAATATACACGTACAGCATTTTTATTACAATACACAACAGTTTACCAATCAAGTATCCCTGATATGTTTATTAACAATAATTAGTCAGTGTCAGCATGTCAATGGGGTGATAATTAACGAAGAAAATCAATCCACATTTAAAGGGTAGAAATGGTTAGAGTAAATTAATTTTACAAGGATAACACGTAATTAAAGATGAAGTGGTCAGAAAAAATAAAAATAAAATAATTTGGACAATTATAATTTTTATAGGTTCAGGGGGAGGGGGGCAACGTAGTCCTATTTATGCATTCTTGTAACGATGGCCACGGTAAGGAAAGTGGCTGTACAAATTTCTTCTGAACACATAGGCTTGGCTTCTTAAGGTGGATTCCGATTGCCTCAGCTGTCTGTAGAAGACGAACTCATAGAGCAAAGTTAAGATTAGTCGGAATGCGATAAATAATTTTAAATGCAGTATTCACATCAACTTTGTGCTCAGTATCAACAAGGTGTGCTAAAATAGAACTACGAATAGATCTTGTTTGTCCCTTGCTTAACCATGTTGAATGATGTTCAGGAATACGACGATGAACCTGCCTAATTGTACGCCCAATGTAGCTGGCACCGCAGCTGCAGTCAAACTGGTAGATACACATAGAAGAGGCAAAATTAGGTAGTTTATCCTTATTTCTCGAACATAGAATAGGGGTGGTTGTGAAGAGACAACGTACCTCTGCTGCACAATAAGCTCTTTTAACTGCATGCTTCATGCGTTGTGTTATGATTTCGCTGATGTTGTCACCGAGGAACTGTAATTTTATGAACATTGGTCTTTTCGGAACTGTAGCCATACTGACTCTCTTTGGTGCTGAATTCATATTTTTCTCAATAAATTTATCTGGATAACCATTTTTTTCTAAGTAATTCTTGAATAATCTTAAGCTCCTCATTGAGACAGTCGTCTGAACAGATTAACTTAGCTCTATGAACCAGACACTTTATATATATATATATATATATATATATATATATATATATATATATATATATATATTAGACTAGAGCCAGAGATGAGGATCTAATTGAAAAGTAAATATTTCTTCGCTCAATCTTTCTGGTTTCCAAATGTTTAAATGGGAATTTTTTCTATATTTTAATCAAATTGTAAACCAATTTGTTCTTTACTATATACTAACAGTTGGAAATAATAATGAGATATAAAGTTATGAGGTCATGACTTTTGTAATGACCTTATGATAATAAGTGAAAGTGCATATAGATAAGTGAGTGAGTGTACTTTTTTCTTCTGGATGCATTGGTTAAGTCTACTCGCTGTTATTGAATCTTATAAACATCAGCTATGGTTAAGAGATGGTAATTATGTATCTTTGGTCAGAGTGTTCAACGTTCATTATATATGTGATGTATATACATGATGTCCCCACTGTCCACTGTTTATTGACCTTGCCAAACTGATACATTTTATGTGTATAGTAATAATAATAATAATAAGTTGTAAAGTAAGAATGGTTGACGACGTAAAGATAAGTAATTTAGAAAAAAGCTCAGCAATTACACTGCATGCATTAACACACAACCGCACAATAGAGTAGGAGGGAGTTGAAATTCTAAGGAGTAATATAGGTAGGTGGAGAGAAAGGTTGATTACTGAATCCTTGCTCATCGAGTCTACACCCAACACATACAATAGGAATGACTCATCATTCATACCGGAAATATGGAAAATACCACTACCAATCAAGTGATGGAAAATAATGGAATTATATAAACGGAGTTAGAAAGTTGTGTGATTGAGTACCTTGATATGATTATCAGCAGGAATAAATTGTGCTCGAAACGTGGTCATCAGTAAGTTTTACTGTAGATATAATACTGTGAGACTTTATCAAAACAAATTTTACCCATAATGGAATTATACTCTACCACAGTGCACAAATTGTGCCCCCCTACTAGGCAACATCTTCCTTCAGCGCATACTACAATTTGAAATGAAGTGAGCTTTTTAGATTTCTCCACGAGTTTATTAGTCATCTCTCCTGGTGGGTAACTTTGAACGTGACTCTTTGGTTGTTTTTGTGTGTTTTCACACCCTCTAGACTGCTTGTATTGGTATTGGTGTTGATTGTTTCCTTGACTTGAAAATTGACCCTATGTGTGTAAGATTTCCTCCTTATCGGTTGGTAAATTTTTCTCTATCTCGGTGTGTCTGTTAATTGACGATTCACTGGAATACGAGACAGGCTTCTAAAAATTCTCTAGCATTCTCGGTATCTCAGTGGAATTGATGTCCGTGGTTGTCTGTATGCAGTGAGGCGATATGAGTGAGGGAGTGGATGTGATGTCTTTTTATGGCTAGTTTATGATCATGGATACGAAGACGAAGAGGACGTTGTCTACTTTGACCGGTGTAGTGTTTTTCGCAGTTGTTACAATTTATATTTTGTGGATGATGTTGTTTATATCTTCTTTCGTTGTTAAGTCTTCGTTGACATAGAGCTGAGTTCCAATACAGATAGCCTAAAGGGTGTGAAAATACACAAAAACAACCAAAGGGTCACGTTCAAGGTCACCCACCAGGACGAATGACCAATAAACTCGTGGAGAGATCTAAAAGCTCACTTCAATTCCAATTGAAGTATGCCCTGAAGGTGTTACCTAGTAGGTGAGGCAATGAGAGCTTCGCACATAAGCCATCCAGCCAGCTCAGAGAACACAACCACATCAAAATCATCCAACTGAGCTACAAATCTTCTCCATCATATCTATCTCCCTGATTTTCATTGATCTCTGCCGAAATGATGCTAGTTCATGACGCAATTTTATTTTTCGTTAGTCAAATTATTCATCTAGTTGATATTTATTTATTTTTTTATTTCCCTGTCTGTTCTAGGATGGTCATTATGTGGCGCATATTAAACGATCATTCTTAGCCAAGTGTATTCCACATGAACCACCTGTGTATCATGTCGGCTCACCAATCTGTGGTGGTAGCGATCAAGAATGGATAATATTCAATGATGAAAAAGTCGCCAAAAGTGAATGTCCACCGCATCGTCATGCTTATCTCTACTTTTTCCGACGTATAGACGCTGATGCGGATGCTACCGCTGCCGCTGGTACACCGATGGCGACAAATTAAATCTGTCTGCATATCCATACCCCGTAATTGTTCGAGTTGTTGCGCTTTAGATGTGACTTTATCAGCGCTCAGACAAACAGACAAACATAAAATAGTTTTTTTGTTGGTTTTTTACTTTTTTTTGTTTTGTTCTGTTATTCAGTTGACAAATTGCTTCTTCTCCTTACTTGCTTGCTCCTGTTATCGTTGTATTCCATTCACATTTATACTTGTGTTTCACGTTTCCGTTTGTTATTTTTTTCAAACGAGAAAGATAGATAGAGTAACATGCTTGTTCACCACCTGCTTGCCTCTTCTTCTTCTTCTTCTTCGGTTTTTCTGTTAGGGTTCCGTCGTCTTCCGCCTCTTCTCCTTCTCCGTCTTCTGATAACGATCAATTCCATTTTTTGTAATCAACAATTTGATATGATATACACACACACATATTTGATGAGATATTAAAGAAAGATTAAATTGTTTGATAAAATAAGCAATTTGATTTGCTTAGTTCTTAAAAAAAAAGGGAGAAAGTGATGGATTGATTGGTTTGTCTGTTCCCGTTTTGTTTTGTTTTGTTTGATCTTATTATTGTTTTTTGGTACATTTGATGAGGGTGTGGATGGACTTCGGTCCGCGTCTTGAAATACTCTCATTTATAGGTGTGTGTGTGGCCAGTCACCTTCATAGCCTTTTCTTTTCCAGGTAAGTTGTACTGACTGCCTTCCAACTGGAGAATATAAACGTCTAGTGCTTACAACAACTGGACTGATGGCTGTTGCGTGACCGCAGAGCCCAGGGGACAACTGCTTGAGGCCGGTCACACACGGCCTGTTTTTGTTTGTTGTTTTTCATTTGGTGTGTCTCAGTAGCACATTTATCACTTCTGCTCTGTGACATGGCAGCAGGAAGCGTGGTCGTTGTTAATCCGGGCCCCGACCGATCTGGCATGATATTTTGTGAATTTGTTTGAATCGTAATATTGGATTGGGTAGCTGCTTTTAGTCTAACCGCTATCCAAACAACCTTTCTGGCATGGTAGGACCTACAGGAACATAAGTTCCAGCCAGTATAGCTTGTTGGGTCATTGCGGTGTTCAAGCCTGACCACCACGTCAAGGTAGCAGATTTCGGTCGGGGGACTGATGGACATGCAGGTGTGTCTACTTACCGCCTAAAGGAGCTGTGGAAAACACTGATTCCAAACCGACGTGGTGTACACTGATGCACTCCGGAATCAAGAACTGACCGAATGAGGGTGTATATGAACCTGTTTCGGTCACTGGCAATCATGGGAACTTAGTTACTGACCCACTTGACGCTACCCGCCACTCTCTTGTGTCAGGATCAGACTTCGGTCTTGATATCAGGGCAGTGAGTATCGCAGTCCATGTGCTGCATCTCCTGGTGCCTATAACGTACCACTGTTGTGTTTTAATACCAGTCCTAGAGGAGGTCATTTGTGAGCCTTGATGGTTCACAATTGGTAGAGTCCATGACTGCAGCACTGTTCGACACACGGGTACGAATGTTAGAGGTTGCAGATATATGCCTTGATGTGACAAGTGCCAACAAGCAAAGAACATTGGTCAGGTGGGATGGGGGTCTTTCTGTTGATTGTCTCCAACACCAACTGAAGAGTGCGCCAATATGGTCAGTCACCTACCTAGATAGCTCGGTGATCACATTGCACACTTAACCGATAGTTTTCGGTCAGAACCTTGGCTTTGATTTACTGTCTTGTGATCAATCAATGCATAGGTTCCCTGTGTACCAGGAAGACTATACGAGGCACACGGGTATTTAAATGAGAGCTGATTAAGCTACCTAGTTAGTTAGTTATCCAGTCTCTGAAGATGACAGAAGGAGATTGGAAACTAAGAGATCTATTGACTGAAGGTTGGACACTTTATTCAATGAGGCACTTTTCTCAGAAAACAGTCCTTACCTTTTTAGTTGTAATCACGTAGTTGTGTGACTGTTATTATTATTGTTTTCTTTAATTCCTAGAGGAATATAGGGCTTCAGCCGTGCGTCCCCATTGTGTTCGGTTCTCTGCTAGAGTGTTCACCTGGCTCCAAGTCTGCCCACATGCTTTCATCTCCGCTTCACATGACCTCCTCCAAGTCACCCACCCTCGCACTGACGACCAACTCGCCGCTTCCCTTTCGGCCGGGTTCCACTCGAGTCATGGCTTGTCTAGTGATGTCACTGACTTGATGATTTCCTCAGAGTATGGCCAATCCAACCCCATTTCTCCCTGCACATTTGTTTCACAATCGGTTCCTGGTTGGTTTGCTCATTGCCAGAGATCTTTTTCGCTGATCTTTTCTGACTGGCCATCTGATCTCGAGTATTGAACGAAGACAGCTAGCTGTTGATGAAGGTCTGTAGTTTGTTTGATGGGCTCTTTATGACGCGCCAAGTCTCTGATCCGTATAGTAGCAATGACTGAATTCACATTGGAGTTGAAAATCCGGATCTTATTTTTCATACTGAGTGCTGAGTGCTGTTGACCTCCACACAGACTTGAGAGTAGTGAAAGCTTATCTTGCTTTCCTGATCCTCGCTGCTTTGGTATCCTCGTCAGTTCTGCGTGACTGTTACTCTTACCTTTTCCTGTTTTTTATTTATTATTCTTTTGGGTTCTGAGTGGAACATTGGGCTTCACCGACACATCTTTATTTCATCCTGTTTTCTGCACTGCTTTTTAGTCCGCTGTATGATCGCTCGTAAGCTTTCGACTGTTTCACATCACCCTCGAATTAACGTCTAACTCTACCTTTTCCATTCGGCTTTCACTCGAGGGCCTGTTTACCTATACATGAAATTAAAAGATTAAATATAAACGGAAAGAAATGGCAAGCAATCTCAATAGGTTTACAAACGATTGTACAACAGACAATAAGTCTCAATTTGCCCTTGATGTGGCTGTTATCTCTGAGTTGGGGGGATGTAAACGTACGAAGCTTTTATTATCCTCATAGACATAATTTTTAGTGCTTACTTTGCACTAGAAAGCTTCGCAATTCAGTCACTCAGAGTTTAGAGAACACAATCTCTTCTAGGAGCTAAAGGAGACAATAATATAATAATTATAGTGTGTTCGCATATTGTCTGAAATAAAGCTTTATTTAGTATTATATATATATATATAATATGGATGAGCGATGTTTATTGATCGCGTGACTTACTGTGTTTACATAATAATAATACTTTGTCTGTTTGGACTGATGATTATGTTGCATTGACATGTGCATATCACTCATTCTTCACATAACACAATTTGCCAGTGGTCTGGGTGACAAAATTTTAAGTGTTCCATAGGCGCTAATCTTGTCATGCATATCTGTACCCAAACAATTTGTTTTACAGTAATATACGACTTGTCTACTTATAAGTAGTAAGGCTAACCGTGACTTCATAAATTCATCACATTGATTTATACAGAATTATGTAAATCGTAATAGGTTAAATTTATGTAGTTGGCTATTGTGTCTTTAAATGGTTCAAAGGGTCGTTCATTGGTATTCCTTGGCAAGTCTGTCTGTCTATTTTCGACATAGTACTTTGTGGCGATTTGCAGCATTTCAAGTCGCCACACCATGTAGCACCCAAAGAAAGTAGAAGAAATGCAAAAAAAGGACAGCAAACAGAGATATGAGACAAAAGGAATAGTAATAAGGAAGAACAATATAGTTTCATTGGAAATTATAAGTCACAAGGAGTGGATGCATCTGTACCAGGCATTGAGAACGAGGATTTTCAGCCATATCACCAAGTTTCTCTAGCCTTCATTGGTGTTTACCGTCCCAAGGACCACAACCAGTCAGGAAGTCTACACCTTCCTACGTGACTGGCTAGCTTAAACTAACTGATGGAGCCATGTTTTGGTTTGACCACCACTACTGGCTAGCTCTTTTCCAACCTGACCATATGTCAGGTAACATTGCCTGTTGTTGAGGAAGGCGATGTCTAGGAATACATGCGTAGCACATGTCCTAACCATCTCAATCGATGTAACTTCACATCTTCGTCAGTTGATTTCCCCTCCTTACCTAGCACTCATTGGACACCTAACCTCAATATTGCTTGCTTTATTATACCACTTCACACGGGATGTAGAACGCAGGCGCAGCTAGTCTTTTCATGTATTGCATTTCCAATGGCCAGATTTCACTAACAGCAATAAAAGAGGACGGAGCGAACTGCTACTGAGCAGTACACCCGCCCTTTGGTCTACAGCTTGCCGGATATCACGTCTACTAAGTCAGAGATGGCGTACACTAGCATATGCGAAACTAGCCTTCTGTATCCGTTCTGATATTTTTTCAGCGATCACCCCGTTGGCACTGGCTGATGCAACTTCCCAAATAAGTGAAGTGGTCAATGTGCTCCACCACTTCATCCTCTATTTGTGAGCTAGTAGTCAGTATAGTCCAGTCCTGTAACATCGTCTTACCTTTGACTCACAGGAGCGAATCGCATGCCAAACATTTGTAGATTGCAGCTCAAGGTGTTCAGAAGACTCTGAGTTTTGTCAGCATTTTCACCTAGAATGACTATATTTTCATCTGCATATTTTTATAAGTCAACGAGATTATTCCGTGGTAACAAATCAATCCATGAGTCACTGGAGTCAGTTAGGGGTTAAATTGATTAGTACATCTATGATGAAATTGAATAGAAATGAGGGATAGTGGGCATCCCTGTCGGACAGCACTAGTTGTCAATTCACTGATAAGATATATTTGTCACTTCGAATTAATCGTCGTAAGGAGTAAAATCCGGATGTTCGACACTAATTGTCAAATCACCTACTTCCATGTTGTTCTGCGTTTCAGCGCGTTACGGAAAACAGTTCCAATTGGTCACTGTTGACTTTCATCAATATCTGCCTTTACTTCATACTGAATATCGGTTAGAAATGATAAGCGATAGAGAACTTTGACAACGAACCAACAAATATGCCGAAGGAAATAGGGATGAGTTAGACACACACTGAGGAGGCCGTTGAGTGACATTCTCTTGAATGGAGCCCGAATGGGAAACGATGAGTTTGATGGTGACATGGGTAAGATGAAAGCCTATGATCAATCATGAAGCCAACTGAAAGGGACTGTAGAGAACAGAGTGGAATGGAGATATGCTATTGAGGCCTTATGCTCCACTCGGTAGCTGGCTGAAGTGTACCTCACTAACACTCGGACCCTAACCTCAATCCTATTCACCCTATAGCGCCATCTAAAACACAAGGGAGACAGAATGCTGACACCTATGGTGAAAGATAGCTAGCCAGCCTTTTCATGTCTTCCACTTTCAATGGCGGCCATGTCTCACTAACAATGATAAAGGAGGACGGAGCAGACTGCTGAGCGGTACACACGGCCTTTGGTTGATAGCCCACCGGCTATCACGTCTACTAAGCCGGAGATGGCGTAAGTTGGCTGGCCTTTTGTATGAGTGCTGAGATTTCGTCAGCGATCAACCCGTTGGCGTTGGCTGATGCAACTTCCCAAACGAGTGAAGTGGTTAACACGCTCTACCACATCACTCACC